TTAAACGTCATTGCGTCCTCCAGGAGGGCAGAACGTGGCCACATGTGAAGAGGCCTACGTAGGCCAGGGCCTCACCACACAAGAAGCGGTGGCCAAGGGCATGTGCGTGATCGATGGAGGTGCTACCCAGACCATAGGTAGCGTTCATGCAATTGAAGCGGTGCTCTCCCAGAACCGTGCCAAACATGGCCAGAGTAGGTTGCAGAACGTCTGCTTCAAGAACCCTTCTGTGTTTTCGTTCGGCAACTCTACTGAAAACAGGTGCCTGAGCACGGCGTCCCTGGAGGTGCAGGCGGGTGGAGCTCCAGGAGTTTTGAATGTGCACACGCTAGACCATGGACAAAGTCCTGTGCTTTTAAGTATCGACACGCTGCGTAGGCTAGGAGCGATAATCGATTTTAATCACGACCTCCTTGTCTTTAGAAACCTCGACCCAGGGAAAATTGCGCGTCTTGCCAGAGGCAAGAATGGGCATCAATTACTGCCCCTTACGGATGATTGGCTTGCTAATGCCGAAACAGCTACGCAAGCGGTCCCAAGCTTGAAATCCTTCCTGGGTTAGGGACAGCTCCTCTCTCGTTTTGACCCTGACAAAAAGAGGGAGGACACAAACCGTTTTTCAGGGGATGTGGGGTCAGTCACGACTCCCAAAGATCACTCAGAGAAGTTTGTGGGTGTGGTTCGTGATGGTAGTGAGTGTGAGGGTTCTAGTTCTGGAAACATGTATCCTGATCGAGTGTGCAGCAGCCCACAGAGTCTCCGCGAGCCAGCTGATAGACAAGTTGCAGCAGCACCTCATGAGGAATCTTGTCGCCTTTGCAGCAATCCTGGCTCAGACCTAAGCAACCAAGATCTCCCTGCCCAAGATCCTCTTCACCATGGATCGCATGTCCAAGGCCGATCTTGTGCTCCGTCTCCGTTCTTACGGAGAAGAGCCACCTCGTGCTTGGACGAAGGTGGAACTCCGTCAGCGACTTCATGCTCTTGCCGACTTGGGCGAGGTGGTCATCCCCCGAGGAGGGAAACAGAAAACGGCCTTGCAAGAGGCGTGACCGAGCTCAACAAGGCGAGCGCCAAGAAGGCCATCTTGGAAAGCTCACCTGGGGATGACGGTGACTTCCAACGAGACCATGGCGGTGATCCAAAAGCGCGCCATGAACTACTTGATGGAGACGATCGCTGGAGAGGCCGAGGACCTCCTGGGCTTCGGCAAGTATGCGGACCAGACGTTCGAGACCGTGGCGATGACCGACAAGTCCTACTGCGAGTGGGTGAAGACGACTGCGAAGGAGGAGGAGAGTTGCTCCATCCACCTGTACCGCTTCGCCAACTGGCTGGAGAATTAGACGAAGGTCAAGGACCAACTGTGAAGAAGGGAGGGCCGGGCCAGAACCGTGTGACTCCACCGATGGCCTCGACACCGGGATCTGCAAGCAGCAGCCTGGATGGTGCGGTGGGCAACTTGGCGACCATGGTCTCCGAGCTCATGAAGGAAGTGAAGGAGCTGAAGGAAGAGAAGGCGGCGGCCGTGCCGAGGAAGGTTGCCGCGAAGTCGGACGAGACCATGTAAGCCCCGCAGGACAACCGCTTAGTTATGTTGCCTCCAAAAGTTTAGAATATAAGTCCCAAATGGTGGTCCCCAACATGTTCGAGGATCTGATTGGTGAGTCCCGAGTTGAATTGCTTGAGATCGCATGTGAACCAGACAGCATCTTGAGTAAGACCTTTCAGGACAAGACGGGGCGCAGCGATGCCGCTTGTAGGAGTTCCTTGTGGTGTGGTCATGACCTTGCCACCCGTGAGGGCCTTTTGCTGGTTCTTGAGCAAGTGAGGTCCTTGAGGCCTAAGAGGGTCTGGATTTCTCCTCCTTGTGGAGCTTATTCTCCGTTACAGAATATTAATCAAAGGACCCCGGCCCAAATCCAAGAGCTCAAGTCCAAGCGTGCCACTGCCAATCTGATTTACGCAAGCACTTTGGAGATTGTCAAAACTTGTTTGCAGATAGGGATCCATGTCACTGTGGAGTTGTCGGAGCGTTGTGAAGCTTGGAGGTTGCCGGTCTTTCAGAAATTGAGGTTTGAAATGGGGTTGTTTACGGCTGTGACCAAGGGTTGTTCCGTGGGTTTAAAAGGTCAGGATGGTCATCTCATGCAAAAGGGTTGGAGAATAGTAACCACTCATGAACGCCTGGCGGAAGCTCTTCATAAGACTTGCAAGTGCCCCACTAACTACAAGCATGCTAAGTGTGAAGCCAAGAATGCCACCACGTCGGCGGGGTACACGAAGGAGTATGCTAGGCTTGTGTGTGATGCCTATAGTCGTGAGGGTAGCTTCCACAAGGTGATTAAGGAGTGTTCCGGAGAGTCCAATCTTTCAGAGGGTTTCGGGTTGGGGTTGTTGTGCACCTGTCAGGAAGCCAACCAGATGCGCGGTGCGTGCATGCTACAATCATCCGAGAGCAGTTGCATGGCCCAGGATCCCGGAAACCCCCAAAGCTCAGGTTTAGGGTTAGCAGCCAAAGCCAAGCAACTCTGTAAGGACCCTAGGAACCTCAGCCTGGACACCTTGTATGAACTCCTTAAACAGTGTCCCCTCAAACAAAATGGAAAATCCCGTAGGAGCGTCGAGGGCAGTGCCGGTAGCTACCAGGTTTTCGGCTCATATGCGTATGGAAACCAGTATGGCGTTACTAACCGCACTCACGCCCACCCGGAATTGCGCCAGTACGTCAATAAGATCCTGCAAAGACTCCTTCCCAAAGACATGAAGTGGACTTCCTTTGCTCTGAATCACGGCTCCCGGATGCCGATACACCGTGACCACAACAACGATGCTAAGCACCCCAACGGCAGTGTAGGGTTTGGAAGTTGTTCTGGGGGTGGTCTTTGGATTGAGGGCGCTGGTTCCTTGTGTGGTAGGAAAGGGTTGCTTTCGACGAGGGAGAATCACCGGGGTGAGTTGCTGGAAGGGGCTGAGTACAATATTATGGGCAAACTTGTGGTGTTTCCTCCGGACTCGCGGCATGGTTCATGCGATTGGGAAGGCGACAGGTGGGTTTTGACGGTCTTTGTGAGTAGGAATTGGGAAGGGGTTCAGTGTTCGGAGCTTGATGTGCTGAAGGCCCTTGGGTTTCCCATTCCTAAACCCAGCCTCCTTGAAGCCTATCCTGCTGAACATGGCATGAGACCTCCCAGGCCCAATATTCGTCAGGAAAGGATTAAGAAACAACTTTATCTCCTTCATTGTGCAACGGGGCACAGCAGTCCTCGGTTCCTGGAACAGGCCCTGCGGAAACGCGGAGCGGACGAAGAAACACTTCAACTTGCTAAAGAGTTCCATTGTCCTGTTTGCGCTGAGCGTAGCAAACCGGTCCCTCGGAACCTCGCTGCTTTAGAGCCTCTTCCACCCAAATTGGCCACAATCAGTGCCGATGTGGGCCACTGGGTGAATCCTCATTCTCATGAAAGCGTTCAGTTCATGCTTGTAATTGACGAAGGGTCTCGGTTCAGAACTGCCCGAATCTTGAGTGAAGGTTCTAGGCAGAGTCCGAATGCACAGACTTGTCTTCATTATCTCCAGGAAGGCTGGGTCCAGTATTTTGGCTTTCCGAGATGTCTTCGTTTAGATCCGGCCGGGGTCTTCAGAAGTGGAGCCGTTGAAGACTGGTGTGACAAACATGGCATCCATCTGGACAGGACATAGTACCAGGTGAGGCTCATTGGAAGATAGGCACGTGCGAGAACGCCATCAAGGGTGTCAAGAGTGTCATGGACAAATTGAGCTTGTATGACACGGAACTGAGCCCTCGCGAAGCCCTGGCAGAAGCCGTAGCCTCTTTCAATCACAAGGAGCTGATCCGAGGATTCTCGCCTGCGCAGCACATCTTGGGACAGGCCCCAGATGAGACAGGACGATTTCTGGCGGCTAGCCAGCAGTTGCCACCTGATCTCCAGGGTGAATTTGCTAGGTCGGTCAAACTCAGGGCTGAAGCAGAGAAAGCCCAGAGTGATTGGAGTGCCGAGCAGCGCATACAACGTGCACTACATTCACGACACCGCCCTTGCTTCAATTACCGTCCAGGTGAGCTCGTGTTTTATTGGAGAACACAAGAGGCCAATAAGAGCAGGCGCCAACCTGGTGGGAAGCATGGCCGATTCCTGGGCCCCGCGAGAATTCTCGCCACCGAGTCTCGCACCGAGGAGGATGGAACTATCCGCCCGGGGGGGGCCATTTGGCTGGTGAAAGGCCGGTCTCTCCTGCGCAGAGCAGTTGAGGAGAGCCACACAACGCGAGGAGCTCATCGAGTCCCTGTCGGAACCGAGTACCCAGCAGGTTCCATGGAGTTTCCATGCCGTGGCAGAGCAGATTGGCGGAAACCGGTTCGCAGACATCACTGCAGAGGTGCCGGAGGTACAGGAATGGCATCGAGCTCAGAACCCACACGTTTTCGTTTCCGCACCAAGCGTCCGGCAGAACAAGCTCTTGAACCTCTGGAGCAGGGGTTTCGAGAAGACCTCATGGAGGATGATCCGGGAGAACAAGGATCCTCACGGACAAGAAGCCGTGGACAGAGAGGCTCAGCCGCCAATGAGGCAGCAGCCGCGGCCTGGTAAAATGATGTGCCAGAACAAGCATGGCCGAATCAGCAGTCAGGCTACTGGAATGAACCAGGAGCAGCAGTGGCCATTGAGATTCCCATGCCCGAGACCAACCGAGGCAGTAAAAAGGCATGGGAGGACTTGGGTGCATACTTCACTGGAAGCTTGAAGCGCCGAGCAGTCGAACTGTCAGAAAAGAAGATGACAAATGCAGAGCGGGAGGAGTTCCGGGGGGCAAAGGCCACAGAAGTGAAAAACTTCATAGCCTCCAATGCCTTCCACATTCTGCCGGATCATTTGAAGCCAGACAGAAGCCAAGCTATCCACATGCGGTGGATCCTGACGTGGAAACTCCGGGATGATGGCACGAGGAAACCAAAAGCTCGGGCCGTCCTCCTGGGCTATCAGGACGAAGGCTACGCCCACCGGGCAACCACATCACCAGTGATGACGAGACAGAGCCGACAGCTCTTGCTCCAGCTTGCCGCGTGGAAACGCTGGTCAGTGAAGAAGGGAGATGTTACCGGAGCTTTTCTTCAAAGCAGAGAGTATCCTGACAAGTTGGTTTGTGTGCCGCCAGAAATTTGTGAAGCGTTGAACATTGCACCGGGCAGTATCACTCAAGTCCGTCGTGCATGCTACGGCTTGGTGGATGCACCGCTCGAGCGGTGGAGATCAGTGGATACCTCTCTTCGGTCTCTAGGGTTTGAGCGCATGTGGGCTGACTCCTGTTGTTGGGTCCTCCGACAAGAGGGGGTCCTGAGAGGGGTCATCAGTGGGCATGTTGACGACTTTTTGTTTGCAGGAAAAAGTGGAGATCGCGTCTGGGAGTCCAAACTTGAGGCCATTAAGACCCAGTATAAATGGGGAGATTGGGAAGAAGGGAAGTTTACTCAGTGTGGTGTTGTTGTTGAGCAGACCCCGGAAGGCTTCGAACTTTCTCAGCCTCACTACCTTGATAGGCTCCATGAAATAGGCCTCAATGCGACCCGCCGCAAAGATAGAAGTAGCCCCACTAGTGAACGAGAACGAACCCAACTCCGTGCTCTGTTAGGAGGCCTAAGCTGGCACGCTCAACAGGTGGCGCCTTACCTCGCAGCAGAAGTAGGGATGCTCCTGACTGAGGTATCTCGCAGCACAGTGGAGACCATCATCAAGGCCAACATCCTTCTCAGCCAGGCGAAGGGCAAGAGTAGCTATAAGATGAAGATCCATAGCTTCAGTGCCGAGGACCTCTTGACCTTGGTTGCTTGGGTGGACGCAGGCAATGCCAACCGCAGTGATGGCGGTTCGACTCAAGGGATCTTTGTGGGAATGTCCACTCAAGCCATCCATGCAGGTGAAGTGTGTGGTGTGAGTCCCATAGCATGGCACTCCCAGAAGATTGACAGGACGTGCAGATCTCCGGGTGCGGCCGAAGCTCAGGCGGCAATCAATGGAGAGGACAGCCTGTACTATGCCAGATTCCAGCGGAGCGAGTTTCTCTATGGGAAGCCTGACCTCCATCGACCGGATGAGCATGTGAAAAAGACCGGTGGTTGTCTGGTCACAGACAGCAGGAACGTGTACGACAAGCTGGATACCGAGATGCTTGTGGTCAAAGGGGCTGAGAAACGGACCAACATTGAGTTGTTGGCCTTGAAGGAGGCACAATGGAACACAGGTGTGAACCTACGCTGGGTCCACAGTGAGGCTCAGCTCGCCAACTCACTCACGAAAAGCAATGGTCATAGGGAGTACGAGATGTACGTCCGCATGGGGCATCAATGGCGCCTCATTGAGGATGAAAACATGATGTCAGCAAAGCGCCGCAAGGAGAAGGGCCTGAAACCGCTTGAGCAGGGCATGCTTCCAGAAAGGGTTAAGTCCATCTCAGAGTGATCTTTCATAGATAATGTTCCCGATGGTCGGAGACCATCTTGATCTCATTTCGGGGGGGGAGAAGGAGGCATGCAAGTAAAATTACTTGGTGCCCTCCATCGCTGCAGGAAATGCAGTACATCGAGCACAATCGCAGCTGCGAATTGGACCAAAAGGCCGGGTGCCTAGGACAGGGTTAGAGTAGCTCCGCTAGTGCCGAGCCATAAGCTCCTGTGTCCTGGGTTGGCCTCCGATTCGTCCATTGGGTATCTCATCTACGGCGGTTCCTACCACTTTCAAACCCTAAAGTCGCCTGACAAGGACCTAAGCCTACGGTCACACGGTTCAGAGCGTGGGATTTGAAGTTTAGAGCTTAAAATACAGGGTTCGGGGTCTAGGGAGAGTTCGGGGTTCAAATTTTAGGGCTTAGAATATAGGGTTTAGGGTTTAGAGAGCGTTTCGGGATTCAAATCGTACCCCTAAACCCTAAACCCTAAAATTCAGGGGCCTTGGGTTTTAGGGAGAGTTTGGCTTTCTGGGTTTAGGGTTTAAGCGTTGATACCAAGAATCCTGGCTAACCCCAGGTGAGCTATACCTTGTGGGGTTTAGGGTCTAGGGTTTAGGGTTTGCAGTTTGGGGTTTAGGGTTTAGGGTTTGCAGTTTGGGGTTTAGGGGTTTAGGGTTTAGGGTTCTGGTATACTAAGACTAAGCTCATGCAGGATCTTGGACAGCGAAATCAAGGTCAAGAAGACTAGAAATCGCAGGGTTTAGGGATTAGGCCGCCCCTGGCCCCCAAAACCATTTGAAAAATATTAGTATATAGCGTCCCTTATTAAAGCCATTAGGGAAAATATTAAATATCCCAGGGGCATACCCAGGGGTTCAGGGTTTATTCAAGTTCGAAGACGCTCGAGTTCGAGATCAGTTCCCATGTTTTCAGGCGGGTGGTGGGGGTGGGGTCGGGTTAGATGAGCCGGTCTTCTGCGCGGTTTAGGGTTAAGGGTTTAGGGTTTAGGGTTTAAGGTGACTGGTAGCTTTGAAATTCAGACTCCGGACGGGCTCCTTCATCATGCGAGATGAATATCTCAAAATGACCAGAACCAAAACTCCTTTAAGATTTTGAGCTGAGGAGGGCTCTGTGTTCAGGGATTGCATTATACGCACCCGGTAAACCTTAAACCCTCAATCCTGAAACCCTTTAGGGTTTAGGGTTTAGGGTTTAGGGTCTAGACCTACACCCGAAAACCTAAAACCTATGACACACCTACATGCTGCCTCAGACAGATCTCTGCTAAAAGGACCCTTCACCTTAACCGTCTGGGGCTCTGAGTTCAACATTTATCTGGGTTCAGGGTTTAGGAGAGGAAGGGTGGGGAGAAGTTCAAGCCCCTAAACCCTAAACCCTAAACCCTTATATGAGCCCTTTCTCTTGCCCGTACAGGCTGTCCGAAGACCTTTCAGAGAATGGTACAGCTCCCTAAATCCTAAACCCCAAATCAAGCACTACTGGGTAATGCTCTTATCACTACTATGATTACTACCATTCTCATTAGTACTATTGTTTCTATCATCATTCGTAATATTATCGGAACCCTAGATGTCACCGCATTCTGTATCCTTTCACCCACTCACTCAAGGAGTTCAGGTAATGGCTGAAATGAAGTCCCAAGTCCATAGCTGCCCCCCATGACGAGATTTCTCATGCTCGGTGGGCTGCCACAATGACCTCGACTTCTGGCAGTGCTCGTCACCGCGTCTGGGCTGAGTGCACTGAGTGTACATGGCAGTTTAGGGTTTAGAGCTAGTTTGGGGCGTATATACAGGCTATAAGGGTTAAATAGAATTTAGGGACTGGGTTAATGTGGGGATATGTTGGGATATCTGGAGAGTCATAGTGAAAAGAAAGTGTGACATGAAGTGAAACGAAATGAAAACTATGATTGTATAGTGGTGGGTAGGGATACATGAAACAGGGTCGTTGTTATTCTGGCTTTCGCTGCGTATAAGTCTTGCTAGGACTATTGGTGAACCAACTTGGGAGATCGTGAGCTAAAATCCTACAATACGTGTCTGTATATATATATATATATGGGCAACCCTAAACCCTACACCCTAAACCGGCCCTAAAGCCAAACCTATGTAAAGAAAAAAGAAATTCAGGTAACCTTTGCCAAGGCCACCAACCAACCCTAAACCCAAAGCGCCAAAGACGGTTTAGGGTCTAGGATTTGCGGGGGCAGGCCCTAAACCCTAAACCCTGAACCCTGTTTAGGGTCTAGGGGTTAGTGGACAGGGGTTTCTAAACCGGACAGGGTTTCTAAACCCGGCCTCAGAACCCCACAGAACCCCACTGAAAAACATAATTTTGGGTTGCTATTAGGGTAGGGTTTAGGGTTTAGGCTTTAGGGTTTAAGGTTTAGGGTTTAGGGTTGAAAATTATTTGGGAGGCCCCTAGGGCTTAGGGTGTAGGATTCAAAAACCAGACAGATGTTGGCAGATGGTCAATTGGTCTAGGTTTGGGGGTTACGGGTTTAGAGTTTTGGTCCCCACCACTCCTCAAACCCGAAACCCCTAAACCCTAAACCCCTAAACCTCTAACACCTAAACCCTAAATCCTTAATCGTGTATTCTTCCACCGTTCCCGCCCATTCCGCGGTCTGCGAGCGAGCACTTCGAAACCGGCAAGAGCCGCGCATGCTCATGGGTTTACAAACAACAGCTCATTCCCAACCTTGACCCCTAACCTCTCTTAGGTCGAAATCCGACATCCTGTCTTCCGTTCGGCTTTCAACCCTACACCTTATCCGTGAATCCTAGACCCTAAAACCCTCCACCCGAAAACACTCTAGAAACTTAACCCTAAAAACCCCTGAAACCCTGCAACCCTACACTCTAAAATCCTGCAGAAAACCTTAAAAACCCTCAACCCTAGATCCTACAGTAAACCCTAAACCCTAAACCTAAAACCTAAAACTCTAAACCCTAA